GCATACTCCTTCTTCAAGTATAAAATTTTAAGGAGACGCAATTCCGTGCCGAATGAGTAGAAGAATTAATATTTTTATGTATGATTTCTTTGAAATGTATTTGCATTTATATGGAAATCGGAAATCAATAAAAAAATCATGCTACTTAAGTAGCCATTCTTTTACAGAGCGTAGTTTTCGCAGGCGGCCGGGAAGAAGTTCATCTAAAAGTCGGCATCCCGAAGTAATTGAAATATCTTGGGATTGCGCTACAAGGTAATTAATAATTCAACCCTACATAAGTAATCTTTTCGAGTCGAAAACGTATTTCAGAATTTCGGTTAACATTTCCTGAGTTAGCAAATCTACAGTACTGACTGCGAGTCGTCGTGCGACTACTCACATGTTGTGCAGACCGTCAGCTCTAAGGCGAAAAGAGAATACTCATTCTTATGCTGCAGTTAGGGCAGATCGGCACGCTGTACTCCAACGTGACCGAGCATTTTCGACGTAACCCAGCACGACACGAACCCCGTAGTGGTAGCGGTGACGGCATTCCTCGACGACGAACTGACTCGGATTCTAACCTGGGCCGTGCAGCTTTAGATTAGGGCATCACTGGCTAGTGCGGCAACTATGCCAAAAAGTGGCTATTCTTCTTACCCAACCATCGTCGACGAAAACATCCCGGAAATCATCCATTTAACTCACTGAGCGAGCGGCTGTCCTGCTAGAAAGGGAACTTTACCAATTCGCTCAACCACCTGCCTTTGACCGTGCTTGGAGAAAGTGCTGTCACAGGTTCTCGGACCCTGTGCTGCAGAAATTTTATTAGTAATCATGCGTTTCTGGAGTAATAAAGCCGTGGTCGAGGACGAACTATCAGGTTGAATACATAGCGGCTGTCCGGACGTAATTTCGGAGGAAGAAATTAGTGTCTTTTGGCGGGCATTGCTGGGGGATTCTGCCCCACATGATTATTGGCACAAAACTCCAGGACTCCTAGAATATCTGCTTAGAACAGAGCCATTAAATCGCAGACTTTGACTGTACCAGAGATACTCCCCTGTTTGGGAACTCATTCAACGAAACTCAATCCTTCCTTGGCCACATAGTCCTCGAATCCTTATCGGAAGGTCGGGGCAGCCTACTGGTTTGCACACCCAGGTCTTTCTGTTGTCGATGACCAATGTCAGAGGAAGAAAGGCGCCACAGACAACTTGCACGCTACAGGTTCTGTAATCGAGGAAATCGCCTACGCTCTCACTGAGTGAGTAATTAGATGACGAATAATCGACAGTACGCCGCTCCGGCCCAAGGTCTCCTGCCCTGCAGCTGTGATTTGTGGCTTCTGCACGTCGACAATCGATGGAGCCTTTCTTTTTTTCATAATTGCTTCCTCCCTTAAATACGGGGTTTTGACTGATGAATCATTTCTTGAACACGGAACTTCATTGATAATTTGGTTGCCTATTGGTCACATCGTAAAAGGTCGTAGTCTCGGGTTGATTTGCCTCTCACTTGGTCGGTAAGGATACTCCGTCTGGACTTTACCTTTCCCACCCCTTTTCGGAATTGACGTCGGAGTCATAATGGCTGGTTGTAAAAATGAACTAGCTAAGTTTAACCTGAAAAAAGTACTCAGTTTTTAACTGGAATTCGAAACAGCGCACCATTCAGTTGACCCTGTCTGAGCGAAGCGAATATAATTGGCGCGGATGACTCATCTGGACAGAATGACCGTGTGTCCCCGTAGCGGCCGATTCCTTTTCCTGAACGCTGTTAGTTGTTAACGGTGTAATGTCTAAAGTTCGAGGAGCGGGAGATGAGCGAGAAGGGCTGGAACATATGGTCTCTAGGTTCTACATTCTCGAAAGTAATTGCCAGCTGTACATGAACATTGTTGCCGCTCGACACTGCCCTTATTTCGTCCACTTTTGTCCTTGTTAATGGCAGTGGTGCCCAAGGAAGACATCGGGCAGAGTGACTAAAAGGAATTTACTCGCGGACTCGTTCCTGACACTTCCGTTTACAGGTTTACGTAGTGATGACTCACCGTAAGGTCGCTTAGACGTGCCTATCTGCCTTAACTCATAAATCAGGAACCCACGGAGTTCGCCCTTAGCCGAAAGGCCATATGGCTTGTTGCGAAGACAAGACTACGCCATTAGATAGTTGCTTATGGGGATAAATCTCTGTTTGGCTAATGCTTTGCTAGCTTTGCATCCTATGTCAGCTCCGCGTTTTTGACCTTATACGAATGCTAACCAACTTCAGATATCAGCCTACAATGGGCATCTACTTTTTCGGATTTTCATTATTCACGCTAACATTTGGACTTGTTTTTGTGTTAAAAAACTGAGACGAGTTCCGAACAGGCATCAGCCTTCATAGGAGCAGTTCTTGGAAACGCGGGCCACCTACAGGCGGGGATCATAAAGCAAACAACGTCACCAATGGTGTACAGTGTGTAGGAACGTTGTCTATTGGGGAGGAAGGGGGTGTTTATTTCACTATAACCCCACCATCAAACTGTCTTAATTTACACACTACGTCCAAAACCAGCGGAGAAATGTCCTCACGTTGGTAGTTTGTTGAAGGCACCGTGGCAAAAGTAACGACTTTTGTGCGCGTCTATTTTGGTAGACACCCCATTGATGTTGGATAACTTCGGTATGGCGCTCTGGTTGTGGTGTCTGCCATCATCGAGCCGCCAATCAAGGAGATTTCTTCGAAGACCACTGTCATCCATGCGAGCACCTCTAAAATCTCACTAACCCACTGCTTAGGCTGTTTTTATAGCACGTTCATATTGATTTCTTTTTTAGGAAACATCACACAAGAAGCGAAAGACTGACGGTGATTGGGCCTGCCAAAACTACAGCAAAGGAGTAAGGCGTTTCTTGTTTCCTATTGCAAGAGAATTTCTCATACTCCGTCTCACAGTTTATGATGGTACAAGTTCTACGGTCTTTTTTATCCTCCACTGCTTACTAAGTGGAGAATAAACCGGGATTCTCCATGGGAGTGTCTCTTTCCATCTGTCCACTCTGTCTCTGCCAATCCGATCTTCTCAGAGGCAACCATAAGTCCTTATTTTAGAGTCATTCAGGAGTTACCCTTTTGTGGGATCTAAGGACATCCTAGTGGGAAACTGGCCTCAGTTATTGGGAATGCAATTTCTCTAGTACTTGCACATGCTGTCTTTAAGGGGCTGTTGAAACAGCATGCAGTAAGTCTCTGTGACTCCGTGGACTCCAAAGACGCGAAAACCGATTCAGAAAAGCCAGACTTGCGTGAGCGCGATCTAAATCCTTCCATGTTCGCTTACGCATACGTTTTGTGCGTTCGCCGACCCCTTGATGTTGCGAAGGCCAAAAGTAAGCCCGATACAGGACCCCCAGGCCTTGTCTGTAAGACTAACTTCCTATAAATTTGTCGTGACCCATTCTAGCATCGCGGACTTATGAGGGCCGTGAACGGGGTTCAGCGAAAGGGCTGATATGAGCGTTATGCTCCGTCCTTGCGGCCTCTGCGTAGTCTAGTGGACATGCAAAGCGCCGTTACGACTTTTACTCATGGAAGAGGAATAAAGCTGCATTTCAAGTTGCTGTCCTGCCTACTTCGTTGAGTCTGATATGATTTCTCAGTTATGGAGGAAAAAATCAAATAAACGAAAGGCTAGGAACAAGAGGGAAAACGAAAAATAAAGAAATACAAAAAATTGTTTGAACAATTTAAAGGCGACAAAGCATGCAGAATTTACTGACGTCATAACTTTCGAGACCTCTCATTCAGCTGCACACGGTCATTGCAGTTATATGACAAGGCAGACTGTTCAATCAACGATCGACCTAGGGAGATAAAACGTGATAGGTAACCTGAAACATGGGTCTAGTATGCGGGTGCATATGGCGAGGGGGGGGAGGGGGAGAGAAGTCATCCAATTACGAGAGTTAGGACTACAGTGAGAACTTGTGCGGCGTGATTTAGAGTGCAACGTGCGGGGAGCATTCAGTCATGCCGGGGAG